GTCCCTTTGGGGTCGTCCCCCCCCCCCCCCCCGCGGGGGCCGTTCCCACCGGGCCGCCCCCCGAGGGCCGGTTGGCCCCCCCCCCCCCCCGACGCTGCCACTCACTGTCTGCCTCTTCCCCAGGGACCGGGATTACCACCTGAAGACTTACAAGTCAGTGCTGCCTGGGAGCAAGCTGGTAGATTGGCTGCTGACGCAGGTGAGCACACGCAGCCTCAGATAGCAGTGTGACTGGGGACAGCAGCACCCTGCTGGGCTGAGGGCATCTTGGAAGCAGGTTTTTGTGGTTTTCTATTTTTTCCCTTTGCTTTTAGTTGTGGCAAAATACCCCTGACAACTTAGCACCTTTACCCCCATTAAGCACATTGCCGGGGCAGGAGATGCATTCACAGTGTGGCAGGAAAGCTTCATCCTGCAGAACACCCCAAGGTCCCAGCTCCCCTCTTCCCTCTGTGTCTACAGTGTGACTGCACAGGGAACCTCACGGAAGGGGAATCTGTAGTGGCCATCCGTACATGATGGCTTCCTTTCATGGAATGTGGGATCCGTAGAGTTCATCAGCCTTGCAGCTTGAATGAGAATTTCCCATTTTCAAGGATGAGTAATAGTCCAGTGCAGATGTCTTAACTCATTGGTGTTATTACAACAAAATGCCCGAGATAGGGAATGATAAGAACAGAAACGTATTTATCACAGTCCTGGTGGCTGGGGACCCAGGTGCCAGCAGATTTTGTATCTCGCAGGGTCCAATTTCCACTTGCAAGATGGCACCTTGTTGCTGTGTCTTAGAGGGGTGGAGGGGTGTTACCTCAGCTAGCAAAGGCATGTAAGTAGAGCCTGTTGGGAATCGAACCCACTAGTAGAACTTGCTTCCAAGGGTGAATCACAGGCATGGGCCAAGGAGAGCGGGTCTAGGAAGTGTTCAGAGATAAGAGGAGGAAGAGGTTTGATGTGACACGTGGAAGTCGGTCACTCAGTCTTCATTGCATTCCCTGTGTGGCTTTTGTAGAACGTGTAATTGTGTGTTTCAGTGGGTTTTTCCCATAGGACACCCTATCATTTCTCATGTCCATTAAATACTCAGCTGGATTTACATAGAAACGTTTGGACTGTACTCGATGGCAAACCTGACTGTCCCAGTAAAGGCGTTTTTCTCTCAGACAATGAAAGGCTCAGAGTTTGTGTACCTAGAGGTTCATGATGCCGCTTACATCACGCCGCCTTCTGCCTTTCTGCCATTCTATGATTGGTTGCTTCACAGTCTCAAGATGGCTGCCACAGCTCCAGGCATCACGTCTGCACATGACTGTGGTCAAAGGCAAGCAGTTAGGGATGGTTGAGAGTGCTTGTTTGTTTCATGCATTAAAGATAGAAAATGTCCCAGATCCTCTGCATTTTCCTCCTAGGAGTCACTGGTTAGATGAGTCCTACTCCAATGCCTAGCCCAGTCTGTGGGGAAGAGGAGCTCTGAGAGGGCTTGGGGGCCTCAGGGTCCCCAGCTGGGTGCTTGGGGCAGGCAGGCTCAGGTGCTTAGGAACTGGAGCTGAGGGCCAGGTGTTCCTAGCCCTAGGGTAACCAGTCATGCCCTGTGTGCTCTCTAATCGAGGTGTCTTACCTCATTTGATCCTTAGGAGCTGGGGAGCCATGGTGGCCACCCCACAGTTATGGATAAGTAGGCCAAAACCCTGATGCTGTGACTTGCTGAGGGCACAGTCAGGGGCTGCTTGCTCTAGAGAGCTCTGCGTGGGGGTGTGTGCCTCCATCAGTAGCGAAATAGCCAAGGATAGCCTGAGGGGAAGCAGAGCTCACGTTCTGCCCTTCCTCCTCTGTGGCCTCTGGAGTGCCAGTACTCCCTGGAGGGTCAGTTCAGGGTCAGTGGCTGGGGTGGAAAGCATCGACAGCAGAGGTGCTAGGTGGAGGGCACAGCCCTGGTTTTGTTAAACACACTGAGAGCATTCCCTCACGGACAACCCTGCAGCTCCCAGGATCCAGCAGATGGCACTGCTGAGGGCCTGGGCACATGGTCCATGCCAGGGGTCACATGGGGCTGCCAAGGAGGGAACAAAGGATAAATACAGTGTAGGCAGGAGACCCAGCCCCTGATGGCCCCTCTGAACCTCAGTATTTCTATCTGTGACATGGTGGTAGAAGTGCAGCTTTGAAAGACCTCCGTTGTCACTGGGCAGCCTGGATCAGCCCACCTGCTTGCCCATGCCTCACTTCCCCCTCTGTCGGGGACTCAGTCTGGATTGGAGCAGGGGGGTCATGGTGATAAGAGGTGTCCGGGATGTGTTTGTGGCCTCCTGTCCTCAAACCCCCTCCATATGCATCCGTTGGACCCTACTTTGCTTCCACTGGTCTCCTGAGACATCATGTGACAGAATGGCAGAGGCTCTCCTGAGCCCCTGTGTGTCAGGTAGGGGTGGGCACATTTCCCCCTGAAGAACTGGGGAGGGATCACTATGCTTCCTGATTTAGAGACAGAAGCAGCTAGAGAGGGCCTGGAGATCAAGGACCAAGCTACCTCTCCCTCCTCCACTTCCCACCTGTCTGCACCTGGGGCACTCAGGCCTGTTACTATGACCCTGGGCTACCCTGTGACCTGAGGAGCTTCCCTGGCTCCTCTGGGGATGGAGCAGACAGGCCAGGCCGGTTCTGAGCACTTGGTAGGACATGTGGACTGTAGAGACCAGCCAGGCGTCCTGGACTAATCATACAACCAAGGCCACCTGGACTGGCTTCCTTCCCCTCCAGCCCTCACCTGGGCTGGCCCTCCCTCCTTTCCAGCCCTCACTCCTGAGCTTGCTGTCCTTCCCCTTCAGCCCTCACACCTGGGCTGGCTTTCCCTCCCCTGAAGCCCTCACACCTGGCTTGACTTCTCTGCATGTGAGAAGGGTCCTTTCATGGTCCTGGTCCCTCCTCTGGTCCAGCTCTAAGCTTGCTATCCTTCCACTACTGGCCTAGGGTCCCCTTGGAGCCATTTATCTCTGCAGTCCTCGGCCAGCAATGCATTGAGTGCTGACACCAAGGGTCCACAGCCCTGCCCAGGGTCCCTACATCTGATTCCACAGCCCCTGCCCAGGGTCCCCACACCTGACTCCACAGCCCCTGCCGAGGGTCCCCACATATGGTTCCTCATATCTGGAAGCTTTGGTCTCCGGCACAAGTGGGAGCCCAGCACACTGGCCACCCCCATTCACCCAGTTACTCAGATTAGCTGGGTCCCTGGTTCTGTTGATATGCTGGAAAGACAAAAATCCCATGTAAAAGGTGATCTCCGCGGAGGCCACAGCTGCAGAACTGTGGAACCAGTTGGCTACTGGGACAGTTAGTTGCCTCCACAGCATCAGCCCATTTTGTCCCATACTACCACAGCCCCAGCACCACTTTCTCATAGGGCTGTGTACCTGGTGGGAGGGACGGTGCTGTTGCCTTTCTCGGCGGACGCCCCTGCAGGCACCTCATGATGGAGCCAGGGCTGTCGGTGAGATTTCAAGTCTAGTATCAGGGCCAAGTCTACAGAGACCAGAACAACCCTGGGTTTGAGTCTCTGCATGAAAGCACCATGGAGGTTGGTGGCCTGGAACAACTAGGGCGGTCACACAAGCTCTTTGGGGACCACAGTCTGTCTTTTTGCTCTGCCTCTGTTACTGTGTTCTACCCTGAGGTCACATTATGATCTAGAGTGATTGCAGGAGCACCAGATATCACATCTTTGTTCCAGGCAGGAGGCAAGAAAAAGAACAGTCTGTGGGTCAGGGTGTTTTACCGTGGTACCCCTACTGGAGGTTTTTGCTTGTGTCTCATTGACCACCTCAGCTGCCAGGGATGCTGGGAAATGGGGGTGAGTTTCCTTACTAGGGAGGGATCAAGAAAGTGCAAACAGCAGCATCTGCCACTCAGAGCAAAGTAATTCCCTTGTGTGGACCTTATTAGGGACATTACAAACATGTTTTGAGGAAACCTCGGTAAACACATGATAAATCCCTGCCTTTGCTCAGCCTCAGAGCTGATGGCCTGTCATGTCCACTCAGCTGCTTAGATGCTGGCTCACTAACAGCATCCCCTTCTGTCCCATTTCAGGGGGACTGCCAGACACGGGAGGAAGCGGTGGCACTTGGCGTGGGTCTGTGCAACAACGGCTTCATGCACCATGGTAAGCCCAGGGCCTAGAACTTTCTATAAGGTCAGGTGCCTCTGTATGTTGGCCACTTGCAGTTTGCCCCCATTCCCTTCCCAGCTAGCAAGGTGCACCTCCCACAGTATCACTGACCCTGGCTCCCACTCGTTTTCCTGAGGAACCACATTCCTGTGTCTAGTTTCCATCTCCTCTGTGGTGGGTGACCACTGTGTGTCCAGCGCAGTGCTGGGCTGTGGCATGACATAAACAGAGCACACCTGTGCACACCCCCACGTGTATCAAAGAGACCCAGCACATCTCTTGCACACTGATGGGGGGTGGCTGTGGGAAGACACCATGCCTTGGAGCCAGGTGTTGGCTGCAGAGGTGTGAGTCTGGCTGGTGTCAGGACACTGAGCCAGGAGGTCCTCAGGTAGTCCTCCCACCCAAGTCTCTACTTTGCGTTAGTGAACTTGGCTCTGCAGGGGCCAGACAGGAGACACTAGGTCTGTCGGCTACACTGCTAACCTCTGCCCTCAAAACACAAAGTGTCTGCCACAACACACAGCAAAATGAGTGTGGTTGGGTGCCAGTGAAACTTTATTTAGGAAAACAAGCCTAGGGACATAGCGTTCTGGAGGCTGTTTGCCTGCCTGTGCCTGGGACCCACCTGTCTCGAGGCTCCTCTCAGCTAACTCCCTAGGTTGAGCTCCACTGACCTGTGGCTCTTTTGTCCCAAGGCCCCACAGGTTCTATGCAGCTGCCTGTACCTCACCAGGCCTCAATGTTACTCCATGCAGCTAGTACTCCTTCGGCCTGTCTAGTGGGGGTAGGGGGCCTGGATGACCCTGTGGATCTGTATTTTTGGGCTCTGTGCCTCTGTCTCCCCAGAGGATGGCCTCAGTTTCCCTGATTTCCCTAGAGGTCTTGCTGTCCTGTCTCCCCTGTGGCCCTCAGCTGAAGGGGCCAGGCCAGGCCACCCATCTGGCTGTCTCCTTCCCAGAAGCCGCTCAGGCCCTCTGATAGCACCGGCCCTGCCGCCGTCCTCTGGTAGAACCTCTCATTTGTGGGTGAGGGTAATTATGGTCCACCCAGCCGTGTTCCCGGAAGGCAGCTGTCTGGGGACACTCCAGGGAGGGGGCTTCAGGCAGCCCTGCTGCCCTTGGGGCCCTTTACGGAGGAAAATTGCAGGGTGTGCTGCTCCCTCCCTGCCACGAACTCAAACAGCTGCTAAACTAGGAAAGGGCTATGACCATGGCAAAGGGCAGGGTTGGTGCTGGGTGGAGGGGTGGCACCTCCTGCCAATCTGAGTCTCAGGGCCCTGGGGGGTCCCAGAGTGGATCTGCCCTCACTTAGGCAGACAGGGAAACTGAGGCTCACATTGCAGCCTTGCAGTCACTTCAAGACTCGGTGCTCCTATTCTCTCAGAGGAAGAAACCGAGGCTCAAAGAGCTTAAAGTACGCAAAGCTAGTGGTGGACCGAGCAGGGATTTGAACTCAGGTCCATGTACATCTTCCAAAGCTGGACCACAGCCTCCGGTAAGAAGGAGGCCAGGCCTCACCTGGAGGGTCTCTACACTGTGTCTACTGAGATATTGTTGCTGAGACACAACACTGTGATTTGTCCTCATGCTCCAGAATCTTCCAACCCCATGTTTACAGTGGAGGCAAAGCGAGTCAGCTGCCCGGAGCCTGGCTCCCCAGCTCTGGCAAAGGTAGCAATTTGTGTGTCTGTTTGTTCCAAAGAGGTAACAGAGGTAGCCCAAGAAAGTGCTCACACACAGGTGGCGTCCCCTGCAGGAGGAAGTAACCCTTTTCCATTTTCCATCTAGCCACCAAATCAGACCAGAGCGACTGCCTTCGGGACAGCAGGGAGTCTGTGCTCAGGCAACTGGCTCTTTTCTCCCAGGGTTTCACTGGTCCTAGGCAGCTGCCTGTACCTCATCAGGTCTTGGTGTCCCCTTCTATGCCGTTTGTACTCTTTCTGCTTCTCTAGTGGGGTGGGGGTGGGACTAGATGACCCTGCCTGTGGCCCTGCCATCTCACGCTCTGGGCTTTAGTCTCCTCAGCTGTCAGAGAGTACAGTACTCCCTACTGTGTCTATGAAATGGTTGAACTCCAGTACAAAACCACAGGGCACCTGTTGCTGTGGGTGCTCAGCTAACTTGCAAGCCATGGGATCAAATCACATCCAGGTCCTTCCCGGCTTGCCCCATAACAAGGGTGCCACGTTCTCCATCAAGGGCTGTAATTAAGGAATTCAGGCTTTCTGGGCCATGTAAATCTCTGTCACAATTACCCAACTTTCACACTGTGGCTTGAGAATGGCCACAGTTATTAAACAAGTGGGTGTGGCTATTTCCAATAAAATTTTATTTGTAAGGACAGATCATGGACCAGAGATAGCCCCAGGAACCACAGCCTCTCTCTCGGTAGCTGCTTCTGATTAGTTGAGGGGTCCCATTTCCTTTTACCCAGGCCCTGTCGGGGTTCGCCACTCAAGTTAACTTGCCTTATCTCAGCTGTTAATCTGTGGCTTTCCTGCCTCTTCAGGTTGATTAGCTAGTTTTTAGAATATCATAGATATTTATTATTTGTTGGTTTTAGACATTGCTGGTCTTTGAAACCTCCATTTGCCTAGGCCTAGGTTAGTTGTTACTACATGGAAGTCCTTAACTTTTGTGCAATGCTTGTCTGTATGTGAACCTCGGCCTGGTGGCTCAGGCATGTAATCCCAGTTATTCAGAAGACTGAGGCAGGAGGATGGTACTAAGTTTAAGGCCTGCCAGGGCTACAGAATGAGTTCCAGGCCACTGTGGGTAACTTAGTGAGACCCTGTCTCAAAATGAAAGGTTAAAAGAAGGCTGGGGGTGTAGGTCAGTGGTGGAGCCTTGCCTCATATGTACAAGGCTCTGGGTTGCATCCCCAGCAAACACACATGCACACACACACACACACACACACACACACACACACACATTTCATTTATATTCTGCAGTAGCTCTAGTTTTCCTGTTTTAGGTCTGTAATCCACCAGAAACTTGTATATGATGTGAGGTTGGGGTCCCATTATGCCTTTCCCCTTAAACAAGCCAGTTTTCAGCTTGGTGGGGGGTACATGCCTGTCATCCTAGCACTTGGAGGCTGAGGCAGGAGGATTAGTTCAAGGCCAGCCTTGGCTATGTTAACAAGTTTGAGGCCAGCCTGAGCTACATGAGGCCCCTGTCTCAACAATAAACAAGTCAGTTTTCTCGGCAGCATCTGTAGGCGATAACATGTGGTTGTTTCTCACCCATCATGTACCCAGTTCCCAGCACAGTCTCTGAGACGATTTCGCCCCCCCCCCAGGTTACTCATCCCCCTCAGCTCCCATTCCACAGTTTGGTTTTCTCTGGTTTTGTGATGTGCCTGTACAGGAGAGGGGCGTCCAGATTCTGCCTTTCTGCTGTAATTTAAAAAATCATTTTTGTGTGGAATATTCATGTATGTATGCATGTGAATATCCATTTGCCTGTGCATGTGTGTGGAGGCCAGAGAGGTCAATGTCGGGTGTTTTCCTTCATCACTCTCCACTTTAATTCTTGAGACAGGGTCTCTCACTCAACCTAAAGCTTCCTGATTGGCTAGGCTGGCCAGCGAGCTGTAAAGATCTGCCTGTATCTGTCTCCCTAGTGCTGGGCTCACACACATGTACTGCGTCTGGCTTTAATGTGGGTGCTGAGGATCCAAATTCAGGTCCTCGTGCTTACACAACAGGTACTTTACCCACCCAGCCGTCTCCCCAGCCCCAGAGCTTTCAGGAGGAGTCAGACAGCCCGATCTTCATGTGAACTGCGCTCATCTTAGCGTTGACTTGCCGTTGCATTTCAGTACAAGCCACCTTTGTCCAGAGTTGGGATGGGGGCTGCCGCTAGCCCTCAGCTACCGTTTGGCAAAGCTGGGCCACCGCCACGTGCACCGGGCCGTGCAAGTCTGACTACATACTACCTGTCTGTGGGTTGCAGTTCTAGAGAAGAGTGAGTTCAAGGATGAGTCCCAGTACTTCCGCTTCCACGCTGATGAGGAGATGGAGGGGACCAGCAGCAAGAACAAACAGCTTCGCAATGACTTCAAGCTCGTGGAGAACATTCTGGCAAAGCGGCTGCTGGTAGGAGCAGATTGGGGCTGTTGGGCCTTCCTTGCCAGACTCTCCTGAGGCCAGACAGTAGCCAGAGCAGGCCTCATAGACATGAGCTTGAGTCTGGGGCCAAGGAAGCCAGGTTACCATGCCTGCTAGGATTGTATTCCTCACAAAACACTGGGGCTGCAGGGGCTCCTGCCCTTTCCCACCTACCCACATTCATAGCTGTGCAGTGCCTCCTGAATCCTGCATGGCCAGCACCGTAGGGCTTAGGAGCCTGTGTCTTGTCCACATTCAGAAGCCCTGAGTGCCTTCAATTTAGAGTCTGTCTAGAAAGTTTGCCAGCCTAGCCCACCCAGCTGGCTTCTTGTAGGCCAGTGGTAGGTGAGCTAGAGGGGCTCAGTGGCCTTGGTTGGAGCTGAAGTTTGCCCATCCATAGCTACACTAACCGCACAGAGTACTTATGGGAACAGATGCTGTGTCCCTTGCCCTAAAGCCCTCTCTACTGCTCCCCAGCACACTTGGATTAAACACAGCCCCGCCCTCACCTCTCTAGCTTGTCTCCTGGCCTGCACCTTTCCTTCCTCCACCCCAGCCTCCCTGATCTCTCCCCAGAACCTTGGAACTGCCTCAGCGCCTTCGCACAAGCTATGCCTGCTGCCTGGAGTGCATCCCCCAGCCTCCAAGAAGCCCCCCCCCCGGTGTCCGCTCAGACCCCCCACACCCTCCCATCACATTGTGCCCTTTCTTTTAATTTACCCTGCACACACTGTCGCATTCTGTTTGTTTGTAGCCTGTCCCCTCCACATGCAGCCAGTGGTATAGCAGCGGAGGCCATCTGACTTGCTCAGTCTGGTGTCTAGTACCCATGGCGTACCTGTGTCTAGAACAGGCAGGGGCTCATGAATACCGCTTGAATGCCAAGTGCAAGTGCCCTTGGATTTCCCCACAGAACCCCAGCTCATCTTCAGCACTGCTGCCACCCTGCCCTGGGGAAAGCAGCTGCCCTCCGAGTCTCCTTCCTACCCCACTTCCCTGGTCGCTGACAGTGTGAGCTCTCTTTCCCCGTTGCTTCTCTGCCTTGACTAAGATCCAGTGACGATCTCGCCTTCACTGCATCATTCTGGGTGTCACTGAGCACCTGCAGAGAGGAGACTGTCACCAGGCTGAGGGGAGAAAGGGAGGCAATCAGGGAGAAGCAAGCGGACCAATGAACCGAGGAGAGGGTGGCACAGCCTCGCTTGACACAGACGTGCCGTGCACCTACTGTGTCCACAATGTTCCTGTTTCGTCCTATGCTGCTGGCTCTGCAGTCCCCCAATCTGTACCCCGACCCTGGAAGACTTGGGGCGTGAGCCTCAGGTCACAATCCCTGGGGGTCGGGGTGGGGCTGCTCCAGGTTGGCTGCCTTAAGTGCTTCTCTGCCTTGGGCTGGCAGATTCCCCCACAGGAGGAGGACTATGGCTTCGAGCTGGAGGAGAAGAACAAGGCTGTTGTGGTGAAGTTGGTGCAGAGGGGCTCCCTGGCGGAGGTGAGGCCCACAGAGGGGGCCGTGTGGGCCCGGCTGGGTGTATTCCCCTTGAGGCAGGCCAGCCCAACAGGTCTTGGGATGTTGGCTGTCTGCTACCCTACCGTTGCTCATGTAGGGAGACTGAGTCTAGGACTCCAGGTTTGAACCACTGGGATTCAGACTGCCTTCCTCATGTGTCCCACCGGTGCTCCCTGCTGGGCAACCCGGGGAGGTGCAGGGAATGCAGGAGGCTTCCTCCATGGGTTTACTATAGTCTCCTGGCCCAGCTGATGGGAGGACAGGGTGGGAAGGAGCCTGTGGCCAGTTGGGGACTAGCCCAGTGTGCTTTCAGCTTCTCAGGACAGGTGGGGTAGCCTGGGGGTGGTGGCAGACTTCAGGCTGACTGTGCTGGAAGGTGGGGGCTGAAGGTTTGGGTCATGGCAACATGTCTTCCACATTCTTGGTCACATCCTCACGGTCACAGAGTGGCTGCTCCGGTTACCCTTCTGCCCTCACAGCAAAGACTAGCCCCGTCCATTTCTTCCTAAAGGAATTGCCACCCACCCTCCCCTCCCCAGGCTTCCCTTGTAACTCAGACGGAGCCTGGAGCTTGGGCTCACACACCCTTGGCCACTCACCCAGAGGGTATGGGGGACTGTGAGGGACCCTGATGAGCTTACTGGTCCTACGCCAGCCTTCTAGAACATTCCAGCTTCCTTAGTAAAGAAGGGGGAAGCCAGTAACCCATGTGCCTGACCCTGTTCCTGTCTCTCCAGATGGCTGGCTTGCAGATGGGGAGGAAGGTCTATTCCATCAATGAGGACCTGGTATTTCTGCGGCCCTTCTCTGAGGTGGAAACCATCCTCAATCAGTCCTTCTGTTCCCGCCGTCCACTGCGCCTATTGGTGGCCACCAAGGCCAGAGAGTGAGTGTCCCTAGGCTAGTCATCCTGGTTCCCCTGGGTGGGCCTGTGGCAAGTCACTAACCTGAGCTGGTACCTTCATTAGTCTAGCAGGATTAATTGCACATGTGGGAGGAGCACCTCTGACTCTGGGAGCACAGCCCTGTCAAGGTGGATTCAGTTCCCACCCTTCATAGACCTCAGGGAGAGTTGGATATGGAGTAGGGATAGATGTGCACGGGACAGCGTGAGGAACGCACTGTCAGTGGAAGCAAACCAGACGGGGGTGGAGAACCCTGTTATGCAGAACAACAGTGAGCACAGACACATCGCTGATTGAGGTGACGACTCTCAGGAGGTGATGAAGGAGCTAGGAGGCTTCTGGAAGAGGATGGCTCTAGGCAGATGCTAGGAGCCTGAGGTCATACCATCTCTGCTGTGTTGGAGGGACAGTGAGGGGGTGGAGGAGAGGGGAAGAGGGGAGCAGTGGATGAGGCTGAGGGCCAGGCCCTGCAGATCCTGATGCCCACACAAGGCTCGTGGAAGGCTGGAGATTTCTGTGGAGATGGAAGCTTCCCTGTGGAGGTAGAAACCAGGCAGTCAGGGCTGTGTGCAGGCAGCTGCCCATCACAGCGTGAAGATGGTTGGTCCAGGTCTAGATGTATGTACAGGGGATGAACTTTTATGTTAAATTATGCATTTGATGCTTCGGTTCCCTGTTATTTGAGGCAAATGGGCTGTTGGACCATGAGCTATGGAAAGTTTAGAATGATTCTTTCTGTGAAAAGGGGAGTGGGCTGAGGGACAAGGTGACACAGAAAGCTTGGCTGCTAGGTGCCAGTGGCGGAAGTCACCAGGATAGACTGCTTAAAGTTCAGAGAGTACCTGGGGGCTGGGAACAGGCTTCCGGGGTATCTCTGCCTGGCAGGAGGGCATGGAAGGGAATGGGTGTGCTGCATGGAGTAGGGGACACGGCTGAAGCAGGGAGCTGCATGGATACTTGGGATGATTGACACCTGCCAGTCCCAGCAGGTGTCACCCTTCAACACCTGCTATCCCTCAGTGATGCTGATCTGAACATCTGCTGGCCCCAGCAGGGCTACAGTGTGACACCTGCCAGCCCCCAGCAGGCATCGCTCCTCTCTGCCTTGGTGTTTGGCTTTCAGGGTGACCTGTGGCTCTTCATCTTGTGCTCTGGGAACCTGGGTGGCTGTGTTTCTAGGGGCTACTCCTATTTGGTTGATTTCCCGGAAGCCTCAGAGTCAGGAGCTCCCCGAGGAGTCCTGGAGAATCTGGATGCATACTGCCTTTTCTCATGGCCTATCCTTGCCCCTGTGCCTCCCAGGACCATCAAAGTCCCTGACCACCCAGAAGCCCTGAGCTTCCAGATTCGAGGAGCAGCCCCGCCATGTATCTTTGCTGTGGGCAGAGGTGAGCTGGGACTTTGTGAGCAGAGGCTCTTGGGGGCTGGGTTGTGTGCATTTAGAGCCACCTGCCCAGCCCCAACAGCACCTATTACTGTAGCTCAAAGCTAAGACCTGCAAAAGCCAATTGCAGGTGGGGAGGGGGATCAATCGAAAGATGATGGGAGAGTGCAGGGACAGTCAGATTCGAGATAGCTGGCCATTTGTTTATATTTGCAGATTTTTTTTTTAATCCCCAAAAGCCCAGGGCCAAGGCCTACTGTTTAGGCCTCACGGCAGAGTTGAGATGGATGGAGTTAAGTCCAGCAACCAGGTTGCACTCTGGCTGCCAAAAGCCTGTGCCCTGAAGGCCACTTGGTGTTCCTCTGCTGCACCGGGGTTGGCTGTGGTCTGTCGCTAGGTGATCACATAGGGCTTTGAAGGATAGGAAGCTGAAGATGCCACTTTGGGCTAGCTGCCTCTGCAATGGGGACTCTGGCCTGTCCTGGCCATTGCATGGGGTCAGCAGCTCCATGGTGGTCAGGTGGAAGGAAATGCAGGGTCTAGGTGCAACCAGTGTCAGGAACAGTGTACATCTGACTCCCTGCCCACACCAATGCCACCTTGGCCCCTCTGCCTGGCTCCAGCCTCAAGCACTCCTGTCCCCCAGGCTCCGAGGCGGTGACCGCTGGGCTCTGTGCAGGCCAGTGCATCCTGAAGGTCAACGGCAACAGTGTGGCAAATGATGGTGCCCTTGAGGTCCTTGAGCACTTCCAGGCCTTCCGCAGCCGGCGGGAGGAGGCCCTGGTAAGCACCCAGCAGCTGTAGGTGGGAGGCTGGGTGCCCTCTCCTCTCTGGCATGTGAGCACTGAGCTGGACATGAGCCACCCAGTCTAGCTTTTCCTTGCTAAGCTGGGTATTGGAGAGGGGAGACCCTTAACACAGTGTGTGGCACCTGTAGTGTGTTGTATACCATGTATGTAACTAGCCACACTGATCACCAATCACGGTTGTTGGGGTAAGGGCCTGGGCTCTGGTGGAGGTGGTGGCCACTCATCCATCCACACTCTGTTCTCTCAGCAAGTGTTTACTGAGCACCTGTCACACGCCAGACTTGTTTCCTGGTTCTGAGAATGCAGGAGATGAGGATTCGGCCTGTGTCTCTAGTGTTTTCAAAGCCTTGCTCCTGGGCTCCTGTCTGGAGTGCCACATTCCACGCTGAGGGCTGAGCATGGCAGAGGTCCCTCAGAATGAAATCTTAGAAGTCTCTTCTGAGGTGGCTTCATGGACAGGAATCAGGGAACCACTTGTCCTGGCCTGCCCCTTCCTCTCTGGGCATGTGAGCCCGTCCCTCTCATGGTGGCTCCTCCCAGGGTCTGTACCAGTGGGTTTACCACAGCCATGAGGATGCCCAGCAGGCGCGGGCCAGCCAGGGCGCCCCTGATGAGGACCCCCAGGAGGATGACCAGCCTGACTCAGGTAAGGGATGGGAACATGAGAAGGTTCTGGAGGGCATATGGGAACATCATGGTGGCTAGTCCTCTGTGTCCTCAAGCTTCCATTCCAGTCCGTGCTCAGGACCACAGCCCCTCATCAGTCTCCCAGGAGCTACAGCAGCAAAAACAGACCTAGGTCCCCAATGACACACACTGGTAACCTTGCATCCCAGAAATGAGTCTCACTGGGCTGAAACCAAGGTGTCTTGGTCTGTGTTCCTTTCTGTGACTCTAGGGGGAGTCCACTACTTTGTCTGTCTCAGGTTCTGGAAGCTTCCCACACCCCTCAGTTCCTGGTTGTCTTGTTGACTGATGGCCTAGCACAGTTGGCCCTAAACTCCCCCACTTTCAGTCTTTCCGCCTCCATCTGCCCATGAAGGACCCTTATGATATTGGTCTACCTACGTGTCACTGACTGAGATGAGAGTCTGTTGCTTTACAACCCAAATTTGCCCTTGTAGACAGGGGTCACTTCCAGGGGTCACTACCAGATCCCTGGCCTACTTTTCCCCCATCCGTTTACTTCCTCGGCTGGCTGTTCATGGGCACCCCAGACTTAGCACGGCCTAAGTGGAACTTGGCCTGTCCTGAAACCTGCTCCCTCCTCCATGGCCCATCTTTATCCTTCCAGGTTCTCAGGCCATGTTTTGCTTTTGTCCCTGCTCTGATTCCTGCAGTGCTGTCTGCTCTGCCTTCTTTCCTTCCCCATCCAGGTTCTGACCAGTTTCCACAACCTTTATCAGTTCCTGGCTCAATCTGCCACTGTTTTCCCCCAGGCCTATTACAGTAACAGACAGTCCTGTCCCACACGGATCTGTCCCCCATCCCCCATGTGCTGTCTTCACAAAATGAGAGCAGAACCTTCTGGTGGCTCTCTCTGTTGAGGGCAAAGAGGAAGTCCTAACCATGGCCTTCAAGGCCTCTGGTAGCTGGGCCAGCCTGGTTCTCAACATCACCTCCTGGGACTTTTCTACTCTTCCTCTGCTCATCTAGCAGAACGTATCCCTGCCCCCAGGGCCTTGCACTTGCTGTGCCCTCTGCCTGGTTCTCTGTCCTCCAGTGCACTCCTTACCTCACACTCCTTTCTTCACCCCATCTCTACTCAGATGTCACCTCCCCAGAGGTCATCCTGAGTGCCCTAAATAAGCCCTCATGTCAGGGGGCGGGGCGGTGGGGGAAGCTCAGCTGGCCCAGAGGTTAAGTGCACTGGCTGCTCTTTGCAGAGGACCCAGGTTTGGTTCCCAGCACTCATGTGGGGGCTAACATCATAAGGATCTGTTACTCCAGTTCCAGGGGATCCAGTGCCCTCTGCTGGATTCCACGGGCATTGCATGCAGGAGTGCACTTAGATCCCGTAGGCAAAACACTCATGCACATAAAATAAAATAAAAAACAAATAATTCAGAAATAAGCCCTTCCTGGAACTGGCTGATAAAGCATGGGCTCAGCAAACTGAAACCTGAGTGGGGTCCAACAAGTGTCAGGTCTGGCTGAATCCTGATTTTTCACTTCTCAACCTCTGGGTTGACTTCTCTCTTAACACTGTGGCTCTGGAAGCTTCAGACCCACTTGAGAGAGAATGTCTCCTTCCCTCTGTAGATTGAGTAGGGGTCTAGCTTGGAAACTTCCTGCTGTCCGTGAACCAAAGGAGGCAGGTGGGGTCAGTGTCCCCAAGAATGTGTCCCCTGGGTTTACTCCTGGGGTGCTCCTGTGTGCTGGGTGGCAGTTGGTGGGCCAGCAAGCCAGTGAGCTGCAGTGTGAGCATTGGTGCACTGCATGGACGTTCAGCCCTGCTCCTAGGCACCGCATCCTCCTCAGTGTGCACTGTTGCTTCGGTTCCCAGCCCTGCCCCTGCTGTCCCTCGGGCCCCAGCTGAGCCTGCGTGAGGACAGTGCTGTGGTCAGCCTGATGGTGGACAATGTGCACCTGGAGCACGGCGTGGTATACGAGTACGTGAGCACCGCGGGAGCCAAGTGCCACGTGCTGGAGAAGATTGTGGAGCCTCGTGGCTGCTTCCGCCTGGCTGCCAAGGTCTTGGCCAGCCCAACCCCACCCTGCCTGGCCCTTAGTCCCATCCCCAGCTCCACCCTAGTCCACCCCTAAGTATCCCTAGGCATGCGCGTGCGCACACACACACACACCATTTCAGGCCCTGCCTGGCTTAGTTCTGGCCCACGGTCAGGACAGCTGCCCTCAGGCATCTATTCCCTATCTCAGTACCCTCCAGCTGTGGGACTGGGGTGATGGATACTGTCCTTTTAGTGTCAGTTTACCCATCTCCCAAATGGGCACGTCACACCCCCAACCTCCTAGGGTGTCACAGTGCATGCAGGAGTCCCCACAGGTAACAATGCCCTGTTCTGCAGCATGCAGGGCATGCTCAATGGCTGTTCACCGTCCTGCAGATCCTTGAGGCCTTTGCTGCTGATGACAGCATCTTTGTGCAGAACTGTGGGCGGCTCATGGCCATGAGTAGTGCCATTGTCACCATGCCACACTACGAGTTCCGCAACATCTGTGACACCAAACTGGAGAACATTGGCCAGAGGATTGCCCACTACCAGGAGGTACCTGCTGCCCACAGGTCTCTGTGTACAGTGCTGAACTTTGAACTCCAGCTAAGTAAGCCTAAGCTCACAGCAGGCTTCATGGGTACAGTTTGGGGAAGGGCAGAGGTGGACTTCAGGCACAGCTGTATCCAGGTGTCTAAGCAGATACCACAGGAATCTATTTTCCCCTCATTGACTTCGTGCCGAGGCAGGCCCTTCACCTATGGTTCCAGATGGCCTTGTGATTCTAGATTAGGTCTGGCCCACACTGACTGACAGGGTGAGGAGGTTACCCATCCTGAGCCTTGTGACTAAGGATCAGGGGACATGGTTCCTAAATATCTAAATAGAGGAAGGAACACAGGTCAGTGCTCAGCGCCCTCAGATTCTGCCAGTCTGTTCCCATGAGAGACACAGGGACCCATCTCATCCACAGATACTGACCTTTTCTCTGATTTGGCAGTGTGTGGCTTGGACCCCAGGATAAAGTTGGCTAGTCTAGGGATATTCCGGGACCCACTGATGCCACCATATGCTCTCTTGTCCCCATCTCTCAGTTTGCAGTCCACTTGAAGAACAGAGTCAGCCCCCCCTTCAAGCAGGCACCCCTGGAGCCCCACCCGCTGTGTGGTCTGGACTTCTGTCCCACCAACTGTCATGTCAACCTCATGGAGGTGTCCTACCCCAAGACCACTCCTTCCGTGGGCAGGTCCTTCAGCATCCGCTTTGGACGCAAACCTTCCCTCATTGGCCTGGACCCAGAGCAAGGTACCTGTGTGTGTCTGTCAGAAGTTGTGTTTAGAACTCACACTACAGATATGGAAACAGAAAGAGGTCTGGAGACCACCATCCAGGGTAGGGTTAAGGGGCTCCAGAGTCATCAGGGCTCCAGCCTCCTATCTCTATATTACTATCTTTGGTTAGGATTTCTAACTTCCACAATGCCTCTCATGGTAAACTGTAGCCACCAGATTACCTGCCATCAGATCTGTGTTCTAGGTAGAAAAGACCTCAATGGTTAAGAATGTATTGGCACTAAGTAGAAACTTTCAGGGTGACCTGCTGGCTTAAAAAGGTTGTAAAGGGGAAAGTTGCTCATTGGTTGGAAGGCTTGAAGTACATTTGTATTCCTCTGCCCAGAGGTTCAGACAGGTGCCTGTCTGTGTGTTGGGCCTGTCTCTGAGTGAGCTTTCCCTCCTCTGCTGCAGGCCACCTGAATCCCATGTCCTACACCCAGCACTGTATTACCACCATGGCCGCCCCCTCCTGGAAATGCTTGCCTGCTGCAGATGGTGACCCCCAGGGCCAGGGTCTCAGTGACAGCAGCTTTGGACCTGCCAGTGGCACCCTCAGCCAACAAGACCGGGGCCTGAGTTTCTTGCTCAGACAGGAAGACCGCGAGATCCAGGATGGATACCTGCAGCTCTTCACAAAGCTGGACGTGGCCCTCAAGGAGATGAAGCAGTATGTCACACAGATCAACAGGTGAGGACTGGCCCAGGGACCAAGGACCCTCCCTGCGGTCCAGGTGTCACTCTGTGTAATGGCCATCCTACCCACTACAGGCCCTGTGCAGCATGCCTGGGCTCTGCCCACCACATGCCAGGAACAGTCCTTCCCCGGCTTTGACAACCAATCTAGATCTAGATTGCCCCTGATCTAGAACTTGCTGTAAGGAAGCAAGGGTCATAGGCAGACCCTCATGAGGCCGAAGGCCCTACTTGTAGGGTTCCCTCTGTGATCTTAACATTGCACCAAGATGGGGTGCTGACAAGATGTCCCTGTCACTCTAGGACATCATCTAGGATGCCTACAGCAACTGCCAGCTCTGGCCAGTGACAGTTCTGGGTTCACTACTTGGCCCCAGGAGAGGACTGAGGCTGGTTAAACAGTACCTTGGGGGACAGACAGTTCTGTATGGCAGTTAACCAGGTTTTTTCAACTAATTAGCATCCAGGCAGTGGGTGCAGGGAAGCGAAAGAGAAGGAAGAGGAAGGGGAGTGAAGAGGAGGAGAAGGAAGAGGAGGAGGAAGAGGAAGAAGAAGAAGAGGAGCAGGAGGTAGATAAAAATGAAGAGGAAGGGGAAGAGGAGGAAGAGGAGGAGGAGCCATTATAGATGGAGAGATGCACTAACCAGAGCAATGTCTGGGCCAGCCTAGGGACCTGCTTCCCCCATACCACCTGAATGGTCATTCTGGAAGCAGCCAGGGATGTTTGTGCTTTGTGCACAGTCTAGGGGCCAGATGATGCTGAGGGGTGTTCCTTCTATGTGGTCGTTTATGACTGGCTCCTACCTTGGCCTGGCAGTTCGCCTGGTTGCTCTGTGTTCTGTGGGCCCCTGGGCATTTTGGATGTTTGCAGCTTTGTCCTCTTCCAGTTGATAGTCTAGACTGTCTCCAGATTGTCCAGTGTCCCCTGGTGGGCACAATTGTCTCTGGTTGGGAACCACCAGTCTAAAACCCTTACAGACTTATTGGAGACACAAGTAAAATATTTATGAGGGAAACTATTCTTAGACCTATTTTAAACCCTTTGGAGAAAGAAAAAAGGAAGAAGGGGGCGACAGGCAGCTCTTGGCTGTTCCTGGCTTATTCAGTCTCTTTGCCTTGAAGTCTGATGGAGATGACAGGGGACAGAACATGGGCTCTGGAGCCAGGGGTTCTGAGTTTCAATCCTGGCTGTGTGGCTTTGGGGAGGTTGCTTAACCTCCCTGAGCCTTGGTTTCTACATCTATAAAGTGGGTCCAGTGGTTAAGGTATAGTAGGACCATGTCTCTCTAGGGCTTGTCTATCACTTACAGGGACTCGGTTCTGTTCTGTGTCTTGTATACTTTAACTCCGTCCTCACAGCAGTCTGTCAGTGAATCCTGGTGGCACCTCATTGTCCACGGGAGGACACAGGCTCAGATGAAATAACCTGCCTCTCTTCTAGGAAATGTCACTGTTAGGCTGTCAGCAGTGCCCTGACTGCTTGCAAAGCTTGTGCTGTTGACTAATGTTCACTGGAGCCATCATCCAGGGGCTCAGAGACCCCCTCCACCCACTTTGTTTCTTTAAGTAAAGTTTTAGTGTAACACAAACAGCCAAGCTATCTGTGTATTCACCCACCCGTGGCCCACCACAGTGGCAGAATCGGTGGCTGTAACAGGCTCTGAGGCCTGCAAAATAAAGGTTTGGTTTTTGCTTTCACTTTTTTCTTTCTTTTGAGATAGCATCTCATGTAGCCCAGGCTGTCCTAGGACTCACCATGTGGCTGAGGCTGGCCTTGAACTCCTTCTGCCTCAGCTTCCCTGGTGCTGGGATTGCAGGTGTGAACCATCATGCTTTCCTAGTCTAAGAGTTTATCCTCTGGGTCTTCCACATTTCTACCCAGCAAGAGGCGCTCAGAGCTGGGTGAGCTTGGCTTGAGATGGAGCTGCTGTTCATGCCCAGCAGGAGGTAACACTGGGAACCTCTTCTGGAAGAGGTGCTGCTGGGGCTCCCTCTCTCTGCTGGGGTTACAGATGAGGTGAAGCCCAGGCTTCAGTCTGCCTGTGTGGCCTGTGTCCTCACCTTCTGAGCCTTTGCCCTTCTTTCCTCAGGCTGCTGTCCACCATCACAGAGCCCACCTCGGCTGCACCCTGCGATCCATCCTTGGCTGAAGAGACCTCATCTTCCCCACTGGTCAGTGAGGAGAGTGAGGCGGACAGGACGGACCATGGGGGCATCAAGAAAGTGTGCTTCAAGGTGTCAGAGGATGAGCAGGAGGACTCAGGCCATGACACCATGAGCTACCGTGACTCCTACAGGTGTGTGCAGGACAGCCAAGGCCACTGACCTGTGGGAAAGTCAGGACTATGGGATATTTCCCAAGGTGCAGTGGGATCAGGCTCTGGTGCTAGGCTCTGGTGCTAACAGTGTGTCTGGAGGCCAAGTGTTAATCGGGAATCTGAGCCTCTTAGAGAATATTCCAGACCGTCCACTTGGCTCCCCTGTCCCAAGCTGGTGCCTCAGGGCCTGGCACACGGACAGCATCCATTCTGTGTCACTCCACAAGCTCACAGGATGTGAGAGAGGCTCAGGGTTCTGTGTGTGAGCATGAGCATCTGTAGAACCCTCAATCCAAGGGGTCAGACAATCTTCTTGTTCTACCTCAGACAGTGGTGTTTCTGCCTGCTTCAATTAATTCTAACAAGGGGCTGGGAAGGTGGCTCAGTGGTTAAGAGCACTGGCTGCTCTTGCAGGGGACCCAGGTTCCGGTCCTAGCACTCACCTGGAGGCTCACAACCAACTGTAACAACAGTTCTGGGGGATCTTACTCCAACTTCTGGCCTCTGTAGGCATTGCGTGCAAGCAAAACACTCATACACATAAAATAAAAATAAATAAAAATTTTAAACATTAATTCTAACAAGATCAGCAGGGTCTTAATTAGTGACCTAAAAAGACAAAACCCGAATAACATGTGATGTGCCACATGTCCCCTTCACCACAGAGAAGTGGGATCTGCTGTGTGGTGGCTGACCCCTGTGGTTGGAGTCCATCCCAGGCCCTGCAGTATGCAGAGAAGGCCCAAAGCCACAGGATTTGAGGGGATGGCACTGCCTCCCTGCTTTCTGGCCTCAGTGACCCCTCCATGTTCTCAGGATCTGACTGGATCCTGTGGCCACCCTGTGTTGTCTGTCCAGCAGGATGTCCAGTTGCCCTGGTGCTCCGTCCTTGGAACCTCTTGTTCCTAGTCCCAGCTTTCCCCCTCCTGGGTTTTCATTCTTACATCTTTGGTCTTCTGATTTTTTTCTTTGTCAAAAGTCACAGAAGGAATCATGGTGACTTTTCCCTTCTTCCTGCTCAGCCAAGTGTGCTGTGAACAGGTGTGTCCAGGGCAGAGCTGTCCCAGGAGACAGGTGTGGTGCTCAGGAGTCTTGGTGACACTAACACCAGAGTGCGTCACTGTCCTGTGTCTCCCAGTCTCAGACCTAGGACACCAGCCAGGCTGGCCTGGCTTCATGCTGCTTCTAGCCAGGTGTCCATCTGAGGCCAGGAGTTTGGGCTACACCCCAGAAAGGGAATTCCAGGGGTCGGGACAGAGGGGACTCAGTGTGCCTATTATCCCGTTGCAGTGAGTGTAACAGCAACCGTGACTCAGTCCTGTCCTATACCAGTGTGAGAAGCAACAGTTCCTACCTGGGCAGTGATGAGATGGGGTCAGGTGAGCAAGATGGGGTCACATGAGTGTGGCCTGGGAGGGGGAGGTCTAAGAGGGGGGCTGGTGATGGAGAGGCCCAGGATGAGGGTTCTGCAATGAGGAGGCCCAGGAGATCCCCAGGGGGCCATTCTGCTGTACTTTGTCACACTCCTTAGCGTCGTGAAAGGGATGTGTTCGTCAGCACTTACTCATTGAACACCTAGGACCAGCAAGGCACTTGGGGACACAGCAGCCAGTGAGATAAAGATCCAGCCCTTATCGTCAGGGACATGGAGCAAGTGAACACATACGCAGTATGCACACACACATGCGTACACCACACACACACACACACACACACACACACACACACACACACACACGATGCTGCCATGTATACTGTCTGCTTGTGAGAGAGTTCTGATGTCACTCGAGCTGTACAAGCTGAGAGGTTCCCTAAAAATGACCTGAGTTCTAGCCAAAATCTGATGGCACAGAAAGTTCAGAGAACTGTGTGGAAGTCAGTCCGATCCTCCTTGTAGCCACCAGTGTGCTTTGCTAGTGTAGGGGTCACCATTGTTATCTGCAGATGGGCATGTAGTAGGTGGGTAGGTGGATAACTGGCATTAACAGTGTTTTACGATCTAGAGTGTGCCGTGCTTAGAACTTTTACCCAAAGCCTAACGCTTGTTTATTTATTTTTCATGCCAGTCCTATTTATTTCAGGCTTTTTTAAAAAGCCATTTTGTATTGTGGATAGCTCAGTGCTACTATACTTGCTTCGCATGTGTGAGGCCCTGGTTCCAGCCCCAGTACTGGGAGAAAAAAAAAAAAAAAAAAAAAGAATGGAAAAGTTTATTTTGTGACCAGGTCATATACTGCCATGTGGTTCATTATTGAAAAGTCTCTTGTGGGTTCAAAGTGCCAGTCCCCCATCCCCACACCCCTGGCTCCTGCATCTCAGGCTGGACCATCAGTCCTTTCCTCACTGCTCTTTGTGTCTCTCCAGCAAGGTCTGTGCATAAGAATTTAATCTTAATTCGGTTTAATAGAAGAAAAATAAATGTGAGGAAATGGAAGTCATGGTTGAGCTTTAGATGGACATTTCAGCATGAGGACTATGTGATGGGGAGGCTGCCCTGGAGCACTGGGGAGGATGTTCTTGGGAGACCTAGGGCCAGGCCTGATGACTCATGCCTGTAATCCCGGCACTCAGGAGACAGAGGCAGGAGGATTACTCTGAATTCAAGGCCACCCTGGGCTACATAGTGAGATTCTGTCTCAGAACAAATCAGTCAGTCAATCAGAGGTGGGCTTTGGGGCGGGTAGACTCAAGCCCCTCTCCCTGGCCCTCAGAATGGAGACCACTGCCTACCTTCCAATCCTATAAGGCTTCAACACCTGTGGCCTGAGTCGCAGAAGTTAAAACTGAGGTTCACATGGATCAAAGACTTTGCATGGTGACTTGGTCAGGCCCCAGGGGGGCCATGGCATTTTCTTGAGAAAGCAGTTGTGAAGGTGTGAGGCGGAATGATCATGGCTGATGGCTGCTCCTTTCTGTTAGGGGACGAGCTGCCCTGCGACATGCGCATCCCATCTGACAAGCAGGACAAGCTTCATGGCTGCCTGGAGCACCTCTTTAACCAGGTCGGCCCCCTGTCCCACCCTGGGGTGTCTTGGGTCCCTCTTGTCACCCTGGGGTAAAGGGCAAGGTTGTGGGTGGCAGGTCCCTACTATACGGATGTCTGGAGTCACACTCACGGAAACGTCTTGTCCCCAGGTGGATTCTATCCACACTCTACTCAAGGGGCCCGTGATGAGCAGGGCATTTGAAGAGACCAGGCATTTCCCCATGGAGCACAACTGGCAAGGTGAGGGTGCTTTGCAGGACATGGCCACATGTCGGGCTCTGTCTCTCACCTGCCCACCAGCTCTGGGCAGGTCCAGGATCAGCCAGTTGGGCTGGTGGGCCAGAGCCAGCCAATGTTTCCTTCTGTTCAGACTGAGTTGAGAGTATATATATATTTTCCATTTTATAAACACAAACCAAGTATGTGTGGCAGAGGCCATAGGCCCTTCAGAGCCTTGGGTGGCTGCTCCAGACTCTTTACATACAGCTGTGCCCTGCTGGTCTCTGCGCCTTGTGGGCCTGTGGGATGAGGATAAAGGGACAGCCTTGAGTACCCTGCCAGATCTTTGTCATTTGCTGTCCTCACTGAGCCCTGCTCACAGAATCCACACACATCTTCCCAGTTCTAACCATGTTCATGTGATGTTTTATCATTGACTTATCTTGGTATAGTGGCGCACGCCTTTAATCCCAGCACTCAGGAGGCAGAGGCAGGCGGATCTCTGTGAGTTCGAGGCCAGCC